GGTGCAAGACAGATCCTGGAGAGAAGTTTCAGGGAGTTAAAAGTACAAAAGTAAGGTAGCCTGACAAAGTACACACCAGAAACTAAGGGAAATGGGACAAAATGGATGAAAACCAAGGGCAAAGATATAAGCAGGTTGCTTCAATAAAGCTGATATGGTCACAATGGAAGGCCTCCAAATGAATGTGACACATGACAATGAATAAAGAAATTGAGTAAGAGATGAAAACTAGTAAGTGGAGAGAAAGAAAGATAGAAAATCCCTAAACCAAAAGAAAATTTCAGATAAATGAGCCTCATGCAACAAGGAAGTCAAGGTTCAGTAAAACATTATTTGGGAAAAGAAAAACACATATCCATGGAATTCAAGCAGTTAAAGGACAAAAGTGGGACTACTAGATACACGTCAAAAAGAGGGAATGAGAAGTAAAAGCAGGTGTGAAAAGATCAATGATGAAACACATAAAAATGGGGCAGGCTCAGTTCAAGTAACAGAAGCAGGAGTTCAGAAATCCTGGATCTAAGATCAGAAAGGAGCCAATCACATAGTGCGCAAGGGCAGTAATATCAATGACCATCAGTGTCTCTAGTCACCATCACTGTATTAAATGACTATTGTGAAAGTGTGTGATAAAACTCATATGTCTGAAACATGAATATATACCCTATTTATCCTCTGATCCATTTTTGTAAAATAATTTATAAGTGAAAGTAAAGAAGAATGTATCACAATAAGTAAACCACATTATATTTGATATAACCAGTACCATAGATATTTTTTGTTAAATACCAGGGCTTGTATGATTTATTTAATGTAACTTTAATCATCATTCAGTGAGCTGTAAATTTGAATGAATTTGAGGTTGTAATCATATTAAAATCCTTGATTAAATATGTACCATTTTATACACAAAGAGGAATAAAAGGTTAAAACTTGGAAAGAAGACAGTGGTTAAAAAAAGATAACTGAGAAGAGACAGTTGACTGGCAAAATATTCATCAAATGTAGCTGAAGTAATCATTAACACTGAGTATTTGCAAGAAATTGACATTAAAGAAAATAATGAAGAAACAAATGAAAATGAATCAGAGACACTACTTGTATTATCGGACATTAATACCTTTGATGATGAAATGGTACGGTTTTCTTCATATGCCAAATGCTGGGATATACACAACTCATAAACAGAAAAAATTATTAAAGTACTTCAAATAACCAATCATATGCTCAGGGTTCATGTTGCAGTGTGGTTTGCATGTAGGAAAATATAATAAATACAGCAGAGTTCAAGAGATAAAAGCATTGAGTTTTTTTTTATGTGATTAAAAGTAATAAGATAAAATTGTTATAGGAATTTAACACTATAATATTATGTATGTTATAAATTTACTATATTTGTAGGTTAAGCTAACACACCAGAAATTAGACATTTTGGGAAACTTTATTTGGTGTCTGTCCCAAGTGTGGAAAGAGTTAAGGGAGGAAAAATGAAGAAAGTGGTAAAGGTAAGTTATCAGGTAAGAAAAAAAGACTGTATTATTACTAACATGTCTTATGTGCAGCCTAAGACCAGTACATTACCCTATAAGGAAGTTGGTCCATGTACCAACTTGCATCAAATAACATGTTTTGGACTCTCTTGCAGTATGACTAAATTATTAAATCTATGCCAGTATCTTTTGAAAGTTCAGTTCCCTTATATCCATGGCTTTCAGGGTGTTCATATCTTTGTATCAGAGAGCACTCAGCAGTTGGAACATCAGAGGGGGAATTCATCCAGATTGTAAATATTAATCTAATCAAAAACAACTTAGATGTGAAAAAAGGATGCAGCCAAAAAAGGATGAGCATGAGACTTAGAGGAATGAAATCAAAATTGGTGGCCAAACTAGTAGCTACATTTATAGCATTTATAATAATTTTACAACAAATATTCATTCATTAGTTAGCCAGGCATTAGTTTGCTCAACTTGGTGCATGATTGTATGCAGCCCAGTTAACTGCTGAAAGAATATTTGCTGTTAATAAAAAGTTCATGAGATATAATTAAAAAGTATTAGTGCTATATACCCAGAAATAGTTTAATTTTGAAACATTGTATTATTCTCTGGTGAATTAGGTTTTTATTTTTTGGATAATTTTTCTAATTCATTTGATAGCTTTTGATTAATCACATAGAAATTTATGCTATATTGTTTAATAATGTTTGTACCTAGACCTGATCAGGCACAGATTTATTAATTATTTTTTTAAGTGATAAAATTTGTATTATAGTTGTTTTTTTATTTTTGACATTATATTTAATAAATTGCTTTTGTTTGAACATGGTTGTAGTTGCATTTTGTTTAGCCAATTACAACTGTATTTTGGACCAATTTAAGATGTGTCAGCATATGAAGACATGTTTATCAAGGGACAAGATTTCCACAAGGTGTCTCTAGCCATACTAAAATGTAAGTTGCAAACTATGACAGTGTACTGAATATGCAGATGATATTCCTATGTTACAGTATATACAGGGACAAAAATGTATCATTTACCTGTTGTAAATGTTGTTGAAATATGAAAAAGGCATAAATATGTTACTAAAATTTTTAACAGATGTTTTCATTTACAGTTAATATAATGAATACATCAATTGTTGGAATGTTTAAATGCTTTATATACATATTTTTGTGCATTTTATAATGGAATGTTTTACCAGCTGTTTTCTTTTCAAGTATGTATAATCAGTGTGGTTCTAAGGTTATAGTTACTTAGCACTGGATTGAAGTGAGTGAACAATAGTAGTAAAAAATAAAAACAGAATATCAGTAGCATGGAATCTCACATGTGCCATATGCATTCCTTCAACTACTCATTGCCTATTATGTTGTACTTCTATTTCAGCTTTGTTGAGTCATTGCTGAAGAACATATGGCTTCATGGGCATCCACTGAGGGGAAGGGGGGAGAGACTTGCCCTCCCCTTGAAAATGAGAAACATAATACTTTCTTTATTCATTCTGCATGTGTATATGAAATTACAAGATTTTATTCACTTCACAATTTCACACTACATATTACACTTAATTTTCCATTCAAGTCACCAAGTTTGTCAGCAGCTTTACTTAAAGTCTCTAGGTACCTACCCTGTAGCTAAATATTGAAAAACATCACTATCTTGGCAGCTTCTTGGATATTGGACATGGCAATTCTCACTCAGGTCATCAAAGAGGCAGATGCAGCAAGGCTTAAATTAACATTACAAATATTAAGCCCATCAAATCTGACTGTAGTATGTAGGTTATCACCTCACACTAACCAAACTTGGGGGAAAGTGTCGAGCCAGCGACAGAGCACATCCTCAAAATTTCACTGTGTATCATTTCATTACTCACAATAGTCCTATGTACAATTTTCAAGCTTTATTTTGGTCAACAAAGAAGGATTGTAACTCAACATGATATGGGTGATTGATATACTGTAGTCTGTTGGCTATCATCTCACACTAACCAATCTGAGGAATGAGGTAGTAACTTTTTGTGGTACAGAGGGGTGAGTAGCATTCCTGAATTATAATTCAAATTGTGATATCCCACATGCATTTGCATTGATTAAGACTCCCATCATAAGCATTTAGTTTAAACTTCTTAAATCTATAATGTTTTTTTTTAATTTTATACTTTATAAACTTGGTGAGCCAACCTGTTGTTTTTTTTACATGCAACCATCCTTTTTTTACCTAAAAGGAACATCGCTATCTTGAACATATAAAATTTGGTTTTATAAATTTTTTCACATTTGATCAGTATCTTCATATAATTCAATTTTCCAATTCACAAGAGATAATTCTTGTTGCATCCCTTTAAAAGAATGGTAAAAGGTAATATATTGAAGCTTACGAGATTATCCAGGAGATAAACAGGATAAAGCCCTATGATTATTATTTTGTCTTTATTCTCAAGACAACAGTATGAGTGGACATGTTTAGGACAAGGAAAGATAGGTCAAGCTCCAATAAGACATTTTTATTTTCCTAACAAGATTATAGGCTTACAGAACAAATTGCTATCAGTAGTAGCAGAGGTCAGCAATTTACTAGTGTTCAAGATCAATGCTTTCTTCAAAAGTAGAGTGGGATGAAATTTTTACTTGTCCCAAAGGTGGGTGGGTAAGGACAGTCTTAAAAGGCCTAAATGGTCCCTTGCTGTCCATAGGCTATGCTAATAAACACACATTTCATTATTTCAAAATAAATTCTTCTTCTTTTCCATTCCAATTTTTTTTTATAATTTGTATTACCAAAACAATATACAGTTAAAATTATTATAATGGTACATTTTTACTAACAACTGAATCAACAGTAACAGAAACAGTGTATCTTTTTCCAATCACATAAGCCAGTTGACAAAGGACTAACTTTTACGCTTGCAAAGTGGATCTCTTGTTGCTGTCAGTGTCACTTTCAATTTATAAAAATAATGACAAGGTTAAAACACTGCATCGGTTTTATTCAGCCAATTAAAAAACTGTTCAATTTTAATTCTAACCTTTCTAAGAATTTAACTGTATTTAATTATAATATTTTTATCAATTAGCAGTGTCATGTACTGATATAAAACTAAAATAAAATCAATCAAGTTATCAACGAATTAGTTGATCAAATTATAATTTTATTTTGTGTTGTACTTTATCAAAAGCTTCCCGAGAATTTAAGCAAACAATATCTATAAATATGCCATAATCCTAAAATCATAAGTCCATATTATAAATTCATATACGGTATATATGTTTAAATAATTAATATTAAAAGTCTATTTTACAAAATCTAAATCCGCATTCGAATAGCTAACAAGTTAGGCCTAATAAGTAATATTATTATGATGTTAATATTATAATCTTATAAGCTATAGGAAATATGAGGACTAATTTTCTGTTAATCACATATAATGAAATGTGCACATGGAATGGTTTATTTTATTTTATTGTATATTTAAAGTTTGTTACTAACGTACTTACGCAATTTATGACCATAAGCATCAGGTTGTCAAACTGTGAAGCTGAACTGTACAATACAGCGTACATTCCCATATCAAACACAAAAATATATTGTGCCTTTTAATAGAATTATAAGCTGATGTGATTACCTGAATTTTAAGAATTTAGTTTGGTGTACTAGAGACTCGAATTAAAATTGTATAATATAATCGTCATTTTTCCTGACAAATTTGAAAACTAAAAACTTTGAAAATTAAATATATGGGACTATATTTTTATATAGATAATTCAGATTAATTTAACTTTGTTTTGAAATAAAATGAAATTCATCTCCTTTGCGTCAAATGTTTTGCTTATCTAATTGCCTTGGTTCTTTGAATAACATGCAGCTAGCAGTGTCCAAATGGTCACTTTTTTTCTTCAAATTTGAGAAGCCAACTACCAATAATATTCCATAAGTGATGAATTAGGCCATTTGCTACAGTTGTCTGAAAATGGTGTTTTGAATCCAGTCTTATATGCAAAGCTTTTATAAGAAATATATATATATATAGTTATGAGGATTTAGGAGTGCACTGGTGGTTCTTATATGGCGTGCACTATTGCATAATGTTACCCGCTCAAAAGAATTCTCCTCCAACTAAAAACAGCCTCAGCACATTTTCTTAATGGAACTAGAAGTTGATCTTGTCATTCTGCTTATAAGTTGAGTGAGAAGGATTCCATTCATTAGCAGGACCTCTTTGTACTGAGAAATCTTACTCCAAAACACGCCGATAATTTTTGAACTTATAAGTAATGCTCTCTTTAATTTCAGGATGGTATTCCGGAGACATTACCATTCATAAAAGCAACCGTATCTTACCGATGTATTTAAAGTCTTAGAAGAATTACAAATGACTCCCTTTCACAAACAGGAAAGTATATATCTTTTTTTAGGTATATCCAGTGGTGGGATTCAGCCGGTTCGCAATTAAATTCTAAGAACAGGTTCGGACCTCCACGAACCGGTTGTTAACAATCGTATGTATAGGCCTAATAATAACGTTACAACTTACAAGTACGCGTGTTTACAACGCAACTTTACTAGCAGGCTAGGCGGACTAGGTCTACTAGATCTCTGATGAATCATTTCCCAGCAGATAAGTGTTTTTTTATACAGATTCTTATGATCTTATCTAAATTATTATTATTAGATCTAACTTAGTTATATCATCTACTAT